GACAGCCGGATGTCGCGACGGCGACAAATGTCTCAAGTTGGCAAATGCCAATCGAGCCTTTTGTATGCGCGCCGACACTTCATCTGTGATGCGTCCACCGGGTGAGATATAGCTGCCTAGATAGCAAAATTTGTCTACTTCCTCTACTACTTCCCCAGTTGGGGCGAGACTGGGTGCTGGATCAACCCAATCTTGTAGTATCATTTTACACTTTGAAGGTGCAAAACGCATACCGAACATGGCAACACTAGCTCTCAAACTATCCAGAAAAGCTTGCAACTTACCTGGATCATCACTTAGTAGCCCAATGTCGTCTGCACTTATCCAGAAATGCTTGCAACTTACCTGGATCGTCACTTAGTAGCACAATGTCGTCTGCGTACTCTAGGTCAGACAGTCTGCCACCCGGAAGTAAATCGATACCGCTATCCCTGCACGAGGATACGGTTGTTTCACTCTGGATCATGCATCTCTCCCTAACCACAGAGGAATTGGTTAGGAAGAGAGGCATCATCCAGTTTGTTTATAGTTTGGTACACTTTTCATACCGGACGGCCTACACAGTGATAGGTAGTAATCCTTTATCTAGGTTGAACTCTGTCGGATATCTTGAAGTAACTATGGGTAACAATCTAATTTGATCAATACACAACAAAAACAGGTGAGAGATACAAGACGATGTGAAACCATGGACCAATCACACCGTATTTAACAGTAGAAAGGACCGGATTCTAGGGGCAGTTCTGTCCTCATGCAAGGAACTGGTGTGCTCCCAGGTGGTAATTTATCTGAGTTAAAGTGTGCAGACGGTTTGTTACCGCATGCGTACAGAAAGCTCGGTTGGTAGCTTGAGACATCTGTTCCGCAATAAATGAAGAACTAAGTGTATGGTGCAGCCGTCCGTTCGTTTCTTATCTGTGGTGCAGAGACTTTGCCGTTACGAGAGCAGTGATGTTAAAAAGACCGCTATGTACGCCCCACTGTACAAATCTTGAGGGGCAACTGGATAAGGAAAGCTAAATTATGCCCAGATGTTTAGGTAGTCGTGGTCGCTCACTGAAGTCAGTGTGTGTTTCGCATGTCACCAAATCGTTTACCCTGGCGTGGAGTGTTTGTCGAGGCAGGTAGTGGATGGAAGAAGGTTGTTGACGGTTGAACCAAAATCTGACTCGAGGGGACCTCTGCTTGGCCATAGTGGTTGATTTCTCAAATCCGCAGAGTCAAACATTTGTGAAAAATGAGGACAATAAACTGGGTCACGAGGAAGGCTATGGACAACTACTATGACTATAAGTCCTGGAATATCGTCCGATTTGTCTTTTAGTAAATAATATAGAGTGATCTACGAATGTGTTACGCTCTAAAGATCTTTAGGCTTTTACAACAGTTCAAGTATACTCCTTCGATTCTTTAAGCAGTTTAATTCTAATCAATTATTTTATTTGTAATTTTCTTGTTGTACGGTAGAGTGCACACTATCATAGGTCATGTTATCGTTTTTAATTCCATTCAAATTTGCGGACATATGGTTCGCATACCATACTCCTGGTTGGGATCTCAGATCTTGGTTTTCTGATCGATCTATTATTATCGAAATGACGAGAAACAATTACAGAAAAGGAACATTTGTTAAAATGTTTGGCGGTCAACCTAAATTGAACAGACGGATTGGCGGCATCGTGACAACTTAAATCCATCTCGGGTGCTAATCACATTAGTAAGTCACTTGCCTTTGTTTGAGCCTTGAATTACTAGCTAATTAGTTCCGACGACCACGATTCGAAGCCAAATTTCAATCAATACACTTTAACAGCCGACTAGTCTCCTCAAACTCAATTACCCAAATTAATTTTAACTGAAACGAATAAACTCACTTTCACAGCAAATAAACAGATTGTTTATACAACACTTCGCACTCATAATTTCAAGTGATTTTGAAACGTATCCGTTTCCGTCTTCGAGAATAAATAGTTCACTGCTTCAGTGTATGGTTTCATTTAGGATCGAAGATGGCCTTCAGTCAATATCCTTCAAGGTTGAATGAGTAGGAGTGTACAGCACACTGCTGCCGTTCACTGAATCAAATTGCGACTTTTATCTGTTTTTGGAAATGCCACTGCACTGATTAATCGGAGCGGTTTCTGGAAGAAAGTAGCAAAACATGGAGAGCACCAGTTTGGCTTCCAGTCGTTCAAGATGAAAACTCTAAGCTTATCAACAAATTTGTGGATAGAATCAAATGGTAGTGTGAA